TGATTGGTCAGCTGGCACATGATCTGCAAAGTGACCAATCATGACACGATATTCAATTTGTGTGATCGACCAATCACAAGAAAGTTATCCTATATACTTGAACCTGAACCTAAATTGAACTGAACTGAACTTCGGAACATTATTTACATGTATTAACCCGTGATGAATTGTGATTGGTCGAGTATGCTTAGATCGTCAGACGGTGTCGTACATTTTTAATGCTTAGTCTTTTTGGTATGTTCCGCCAACATCCCATCCAAATCCAGATGTCCAAACATATCCAAACACCTATAACTAGGAAACGGCAAACAACTATTATCTACAATATGCAATGGAGACGAACAGAAAATTCATCACTGCGATACTTTTATATCTTAGATCACGTGCGTGGACATAGTGTTGTTAGGAAATACACTATTAAATAATTAGACATTTGAATGTCTAAATATATTTCGACATACCATTATTTTTTATCGAAATGTCAAAGTTCTAAATTTGATTAAATGCCTAAATGTTTGACGAATGTTAAAATAAAGCTTTGTTTAATACATATATCATTATTTCCGGTTCTTATTTATACTTCTATACTATTTTTCGCACTTATTTTTCGGATCTAAGATTTGAGCTGATCCGGGAATTTTTACATTTCTTTTTAACTATGTATCTTTAAGCTATTTGAGTTGTTAACGAAAAAAAAAATTGACAAAAAAAAAACAGGAAGAAAATAGAAGAAAATGAAAGGATTCTTGCGAGCTAAACTTTATAAAATACGTGACTTTGATTTAAAAAAAATAGTAAGTATAATAAGAACCGGAGAATAAATCAGTTATTATCCGTAAAGTGGATATAACATATATATGTTCTGATTTAAATTATGATTTATTACTGCACCCCAAATCTAACGCTAACCTATCTTCCCACCATTCAACCCATCTTTCCACTATATTTGCTTAATTTTCAAATGCATCGTAATGTTAATTTGTTTAGGCCGGTAATTTAGGCCAATTGACATTTGGGACAAATTTGACATCTGGGCACAACATATATTTAACTTATATAAACTTAATTTAGGCATTTCGACACTATTTAGAATTTAAGCGCTATTTTAGAATTTCGACATTAACTTAGACTTCTGACATGCTAAATGTCGTAAGTCGAAATATTTAAAACAATTCGATTAACAACACTACGTGAACAGACAGGAAATTCTGAATTACTTTTTTGATGTTTTTAAATAGAAATCATCAAAAACATGCGTAGAAATTAAAGGTCCTCCGCTCCGCTCCGGACAATTAATAAATTTTATTGACATTAAGTCAGGGACGATGATTTTCTGCGGCAATTAAATCAAAATTCTGTCGTCATTAATTCGCAATTTCTGCGATAATTCTGCGATTTGAAAAATATGCTCTTTGAAAAAAAAAACTTGCAATTTTTAAAATACTGCGCTCAACTTAGCAAGAAAGTCAATCAGACTTAATTAATTACTACAAATATTCATAATAATTACATAATTATTACAGTATTTATTAAAATATTTGTAATCGATAAAAATATTAGTAATAATTACGAATACAGTATTAGCAATAATTATAAATATTCAAAAAAATAATTTCGTTAAAGTACATTTCTCTAAAAAAGTAAAAAACAAACCTTTATTTATTGAAAAGTCTAATAGTAAAAAATGTCGCAACATAAAATTGTATCTCCTCATACTCGTGTTAAAGAATATCCTGAATACCTTCGTGTGGATAATAATGCATTTTTTTGCAAATTTTGCAATGTGCCATTAGAATGGAAGTGCAAGTCAACAGTGAAAGATCATATAAATAGCAAATCACATCAAAAAATAAAACTAATGCTGAAAAAATACTTCTCATATGTATCAAAGAACATTGCAAACTACATTAAATGTTAATGAGATAAGGCAAAGCATAATCAAGGATTTGATTGAAACAATAGTAACAGCTGATATCCTCTTAGAAAAAGTAAATCATCTACGTCTATTTTTACAAAAGTACTGTCGTGAAGGAGGATTAGTTCCACAAGCATCAACTCTTCGACAAGTTTATCTTCCTGATGTTTTTGAAAATCATCTTGTAATTCTTAAAAATTTATTTAATGAAAAGCCTGTTTCTATAATAATGGATGAAATGACAGATGATTGTGGGAGAAAAGTAGTAAATACTTTATTTACATATCGGGAAAGCACCAAACTTGTTTTAGTAGATTTTTTAGTAGATATTAATAACACTACAATATCTCAATTGCTTATTGGCATCTTGCCACGATATAATATTTCATTTAATATTCCCCATCTTTTTTTATCTGATTCTGCCTCTTACATGAAAAAAAGCTATCATAATATTCTTAAACTATTGATGCCACAACTATTACACAATCCATGTTGCGCACATATCATTAATTTAGTTAATGAAACTTGGTTTAATTTTTGTCACTTCTCGATTATTAAAGAGTTTTTATTTAAAATAAAAACTATTTTTGTTACTAGTTCTGTACGGAAAAGTCGATATATAACATTTTTAAAAAAGCATAAAATTTCTAGACCGCAAAAGGTCCCACTTCCAGTTATTACTCGTTGGAATACGTGGTTTGAAATAATTTATTATGTTTTTAATCATTTTTCCTTAATTCATGATTTTTTTAAGGACGAATCTAAAAATAATTCAACTGATAGTATTGAAAAATTTTACTTACTCTTGATAACTTTAATAATTTAGATCTTATTCGAATTTATCTTTATTTTATTACAGTTTATTCTCAAGAGTTCGTTTATAATTTAAATTTTTTTCAGACTCAAAATGAACCTGTTTTTCCTTTGGTATATAATCATCTAGAACAACTATTGGCTTACCTTCAATCTAACCGTAATTCTAATTCCTTTTCTGAGGAATTAGATAATACAATTCGTCAACAAAAGGGTGATCCTTTACAATTTTATCCTATATTTCGTGAAGCATTTGAAATTGCATTTAAAAAGTTCAATTCTCATATTAATGCTCATCCTTCATATTCTTTATTCAAAGCATGTCGAATGTTTGATCCTTCTTATATTTGTTTTGGCTCATTAGAAAGAAAAAATATTCACCAATATTCTATTATTCATGAATTAGCTAATCCTTCGGAACAAATATTAAGAGAATGGGCTATTTATTGTGGGCTAACTGGAAATGAAATATTTGAAAATTTAGACATATTTTGGAAAAGTAATGCAAACAAATTATCATTATTATCCGATATAGCTTTGGATTATATTTGGTTACCTATATCTAGTTGTAGTGTTGAGCGTAGTTTTTCTATTTATAATAATATTTTAGCTAGCGATAGACAAAATCTTTCTGAGACTTCGCTTAAAACATTAAATATGATGTACTTTAATAAATAAAAATATTAAATTTTTTTTGATATTTTAAAATCGCAGAATTTCTGCAAAATGACGTAAATTCTGCGATATTATGCATTTTGCAGAAAATCATCGTCCCTGCATTAAGTACTCTGGTTCAACTCGCTATGAATTGATTACGTAGTATATTCTAAATTCAGTAAATTAAAAATAATTTAGGTTGGTAGTGAAACCACCAAAAACGGATCAAATTAGATCAATTTCATATCGATATGAATCAACCTTCGGATTTAAGAGATAGCTAAAGCCGTGTCTGGTTAGTGGTTACTTTTTGATGCATTTAAGGTTAGTATAAAAATATCAAAGATCAATATATAATTTTTAGACTTGTTTACACCAATCCTGATTGACTATCATAAATAATACTCACCTGATATTGATGTCAAAATAGTCAATTTAAATCTTTTGATATCAATTTTTACATGTTAGAACTTTGTTTCATAGTTTTTTTTGTATATACAAAAAGAAATTCGATATACAAAAACTTTAAATAAAAAAGTAAATATACTATCGATAAATAATTTGATGATATTCGCTGCTAGATACGTCGAAGTTATACTTTTGCAAATACTAAAAGAAAATTTGTTATCTTAATTGTACTAAAAAGGTAACTGATAATGCAGTAGGAAGAGAAGGGATCAGTTACATATATTTTTTGAAAAAGAAATTGGTACGTACCTTTGTTTATAGGTTCATTGCATGTTATTGGAGATGTATTAATTCAACAGTCTTACAATAAATGTAGACGTTGAGATTCATACTTGTATAGTGCATGACACTTAAAGACTACATTTGTCCCATTTTGACCTCCAAACTAAAGTGCATCAAAAAGTTAATTTATGCATATTTTTCAAATGTTACAGGTTGTCACGTGATCAGACCAATCATATATCCCAAAATAATATACATCTTAATCAAAAATCACATTCTTAAAAATACTGTATTATTATATTTGTGCAAGTTTGGCCAAGCA